ATATATATATATATATATATATATGAACCATTGTGTCAAATACGAACAAAAATTGACATATATATGAACTTGGACTGCATAACATTTATGAACACAATATGAACATAATAAGAATACCTTCTACACGAAAGAAAATAAATAAAAAAACAGGTATGAACACACTATGAACAACTTGTGAACAATAGTTCCTTCATTATGAACACATTAAGGAGCCAACCAATGTTGAGATTTGCAGCTAGTGTATATATGAACACAATATGAACACTTGTGAACAATAGTTCCTTCATTATGAACACATTTAGGAGCGAGCCAATGTTGAAATATGCAACTAGTATACATATGAACACAATATGAACAACTTGTGAATAATAGTTCCTTCATTATGAACACATTCAGGAGCGAGCCGGTGTTGAGATATGCAGCTAGTGTACATATGAACACAATATGAACATTTATGAACAATAGTTTCTTCATTATGAACAATAGGTTTTAGCTTGAACTTACCGAAAACTTTACTATCGGGTCTCCTCTACCAATCACAAATTCAATAACATTATAGATAGAAAAATCAATATTATAAAAAAACAAGATCAATTATAAATTGACAAAAAATCATGGGATTTTTTGATTTTGTAACTCCCAATTAATGATACGGGAGTTACATAAAAAAGAAAATTACATATTTACCCTTGTCATTAAATTAGAAGATGAATATGAACCTATATATAAGATAGATTGCCATTGGTTGAAAATGGTTAACAAAGTTAACATAATAAATTTTGTTAACATTTGAACCAGACTCTCTCTCTCTCTCTCTATATATATATATATATATGTGTGTGTATGTGTGTGTGTGTGTAGGGGGAGTTTCAATTACAACTCAATTCTTACAAACAATACAAAACTAATCTCAACCATTGATTTTGTTTATTTTAAAATTTAGAGGTGGTTATAAAATGCACTTGACAGTAAATTTAGAAATCGATTAAATCCATATTGTTGATTATATACATGTACAATTGAGATCGTCTTGTAAGATTTGTAAGAATTATATGCTTTGCAAATAAATCCCCCATATGTATATAGGAATGGGTTCAAATGAAAACCGATTTTTTGTTGTGAGCCGGGGAACAAAGGCAAGCACAACATGTGTCACCTGCATCCACGGGTTATTCATTATGAATAATATACATTCTGTCATTTGCACATGCTACAAACTAACACATACGGTGGTTAAGTGTCTAGCAACACGTCACCTCCCAAAGGCTATGTAAATGTGTTTTTCCTTGCGCAATCTGATTGATCCAATCAATCATACGGTAGTTACATTTGTTGTTCTTTTGCTTTATGATATTTCGTTACAAACTTAAGGCATAAACATATCTCATCCTTTATAGTTCAAAGTTGTGTTTCTCAATCCCAACATATTTGACCCAGACAAGTGCTATTAGTTCAACTAATCCATTTTTCTACGCTAATGTGAATCAAACTATGTCATCGAGGGGCCCAAAAATATTTCTCTCAACTTCAGAGGAGCAAATCCCATATTACATGTACATGAATTATACACAATTCATGTTATATCCAATATAACCCTTGTGATTACCCGGTTAAGGGTAACTGTTACCCCTTGTTATTGGGGTAACAGTTCCTGCAACTGGATCAGAAGTGGAAGCTGCAAAAATGATAAAGGGAAAGTTAAATATGTTTATAGAATCTGCATCTTTAGAGGGCTGAGCCTCTGGTTCCTTCGCCTCTCGTCCTGCAGTTGTTGATGGTGATGGAGCAAATGCTTGTGGTGGTGGAGCTGAAGTTGTGGTCAAGGGCGTGATGGATGGTGTCTCCCCCTCATGAGAACCTAGACGTTGGTCATCGAGGTCTTGGTCGTCATGCCTCGGTCGCTTTGGGGGCCTCTCTGCAGAGTAAGAGGAAGATACCCTTTTCTTCTTTCGAAGGTGTGAGACAAAAAGTCCTACACGCATGCGCCTATGATATTTTTCCATGCGGTGCAGGAGACTTTCAGTATGGGCCCGCTGCCTCAATATGTTGGCTTGCGAGGCGGCAGACTTGGCGGCCTTCTTCACAAACTTGTCGTTAATCTCGTTGAATTTTGAGATTATGGACACCTTGAATGATCGGAGGTTGGCTCTAGTAACCGGGGCGGAGGCGGCGGCAGTGGAGGTAGTGGTTGGTATGGTGATGGAGGAGATAAGTTCCCTCACCTCTGCAGCGAAGAATTGAAGTCTTGTGTTGTTGGAGCTGCCGATGATGGGGTGGGGATGGATTGTGGGATTGTGTTTTGGATGGTGGAGGAGAGAGAGGCAATGGAGGATTTTGTGGCTAATATTTATGAGGAGAGAGAGGTGATGGATGCGTCGATGGCTGTAATTTGGGAGGTGAGGGAGTCAAATCTTGTGACCATAAGGTTATTATGGTAGTTGTGGTTTTGGGTTACCAGACGTTGGAGGGATTGGATGAGGGTGCTGTTTTCCCTTGAAAGAGTTTCAAGAGATGCAATTGATTGCTGAATGAGGGAAATATTTTGATTGGGGATGGATTCAGCAACCCTTGCAATTGTGAGTTTAAGGTCTTCCAAGGACCATTGAATTGAGTCAGCAAAGGCTTAGAACTCGGCCTTTGTGACCAAATCAGCAAGGGGGTAACCTTCACGACAATGATGCCGTGGGTTGAGCCTCAATTCCAGAGGCGCCTCCATCGATGCCTGGTTCGATGTTAGGCAAAGAAGGACTTCCATCCTTTCCTTGATCGCCTTCTAATAAAGAATTATCTCAGGATGTTCTGATAGTAGTTTCTTCTTCATTGGATTCAGAGTCTGATGAAGGGAAGTATGTATGTGTCCCCATCGATAGACCAAGTATCGAAGGGGTCTATGTTTGAAAAGAAGATCGCTCTGAACGATCTGTGGGGAATTCAAAGGCAGAAGCAACAAATGCTTCTGAGTGATTGGATGGTGTCGGCCCTGAGGAGAAGGGCCCTTATTTCTTCATCACCTCTCAGTTGTGCTATTTCCAGAGACCCGAAGAGTGGACTCTGGAAGGCTGG